AATGGGTGCAGGAGAAACCCTGGACACACCAGTCCATCACAGGTCAGATACACACACACTCACACCAGGGCCAATTTTCGCTAAGGCCAATTAATCTACAGTACCAGTATGATTTAGCTCTCTGGGAAGGAACTGGAGCACCCTGTGGAATCCCACGCAAACACAGGATGAAAATACATACCCTATGCAGATCGCACCCCAGGAATCGAACCCAGGGCCCCAGCACTAAAAGGCAGCAACCACTGCACCATGCTGCGGACTCTCCTGTACTTGATCATATACAGTATAATTCTCCTCCATTAGGAGGACACCTTTAGAAACTTGTCTTCTGACCTTCATAAATAGTGCCGTTAATTAAACATCTCCCTGAAGATGTCAATCAGTTAACTCATATGTGTATGACCTCCGTAAAAATATATATAAAAAAGATGCAATACCTATCGTAGGCTACACCTACAGGACAACTGGGACACAAGATTCGATCTGTGCTACCGCCCTGGGCCGCTAGGTGGCGCTCCAGTCATGCAAGACAAATCCACCGTCCTGGCAGGAGTTTTATTTACATTGATTCAGATATAAACACCCCAACTTAGTACGACCACCGAAGCTGAAGGTAACAACAGTAGACATGAATCAAAACTACAAAGGAGACTTGTATAGAATAAGAAGAGTAAAACTTGTCACAATGAGGAAGTCTGGCTGACTGGGCATTGGGATTAATAACAGGACACAGGGTCTCTTTCACTGGGTGGCGCTTAGGCCCGTGGAAAAAAAAAACAAAACGCACTGTACTTCGACAGTATGAGGGTATTTACAATACACGAACTAGCAAATTTAGATCAATCAAACATCATTTAACCAAGCTATTAGGCGTTTCGTTTCGAGAATTACTGAGAGTGGATCGCCGCGATCAAAGAAATGAATACATTATTATTATTTGTAATGAGCACTTAAAAACTCAAGAGGATTAGAGAAGACAGTGATGTCACTAAAGGCCTACCCGTACGATCAAAGTAACAAGTTAAAACTACTCGTGTAATCTTAATCTGAAATTGAAGCGACGGAGTTCAAAGGACATAAACGGGGGTTTATAGCAGGAGCCATCACTCCTGTCTTTCCAGGACGCTTGTGACCTCTAATGTAGGGCAGAAACGATGCACGTGGGTCTTTAGCTCACCAGTGGGGAAAAGAGGTTAGTGTGCGTACAGCACTGGGACCAAAAAATAGATTTTTTTTTTGTTTCTGGGTTTTTTTTTAACTGCAAGGCGGGAGCGATCTGAGGCAGACTGCCCGGCGCCAGTCCGCACCTGCGAGCGAGTTACAAGCCTCAAGATGAGTTACACAGGTGCGCTCCGGCCTCGCCGTGAAAAAAAAACAACAAACAAAACAAACATCTCCCTGCTCCTCTGTGTCCAGAAGCTCCCGGGACAGGAAAACAGGGGGTGTTAACGACGAAACGACGGCAAATGAATAAAAGCAAACACCGGAGCCGTTAAGTCGTTCACGAGAGTACGAAACGGAGCCCGAGTGTCTTAACACACGAGCAGAAAGCGTTGGCTGACACCGGGATCCCACGAAACCGTAGGCAACTTGTGATACCAAACGGGATCTCTCTCCGGCAGGCGGAGCAGGGTGCTGTCTTGGTGCAAAAGTCAGAAACCAGGGCTCTCGAGGAGAAAGGACAGGAACAAAGGGGGTGTTGACGACGAAACGACGGCAAATGAATAAAAGCAAACACCGAGTAACTGCGCATTTGATCTCGAAGCTCTGCGGGATATCCAGTACAAACAACTCGGATCAATGGAGGTTAAAATGCAATATCTGGGATTAAGGTCCTTCATAAATCTTATTTAAGCCGATTCATGACGTTACTCGACGTCAGCTTTGCTCACGGAGTGTGACCCATACTGAGTTTTACAGGCTGAAAACAAAGGGTCACTAAAATATAAAACCCGCCTAAAGAGAACCGTAACCCTGCCAAGTAAAAGCAAAACTTGTATCACTTAAAAAGAATGAGGAAGCCACACAACGCAGAGACCTTTTCCCAGCACAGAAAAAAATAACCTGGCGAGACGGGCAGTTGAGAGAGTTCGCAGGCCTGTCAGAGGAGTCAAATCGCTGAAATGCAAAGAATCAAGGACGGTTTAGTTCCTCATACCAGCTGAAAACAGGAGGCTCCTTCCTCGACAAAAAAATATGTTTCGAGGAGTAGGAGGATGCAGATATTACGTTCACAGAGCAAGGCTTTTTAGTGCAATCTCAGCCATCAACCCATCCACAAACTCCTTCTTCCGACTGAGTGCCACTACAGCCTATCCAGGGGAGCAATGAGCACAACACAGGGTATGGGACACCAGTCCATCACAGGGCACACACTTACACCAGGGCCAGTTTCCCCAGAACTGTGTCTTCTGACTGTGGGAGGAAACTAGCATACAGGGAGAACATACAAGCTCCACACAGATGGCACCAAAGGGAATCGAACCAGGGGCCACAGTGCTGCGAGGCAGCAATGCTAACTGCTGTGCTGCCAGATTCATAACTTATTTGAAAGTGTATTGGTCAGCTGTGGGATTTAGAGAGGGGCTTTCATCTGAAAACAGCACTAGAATCGAGCACTGGGCCATCACCAGATCCCCCCTGTGTGCAAGGTGAAAAACCACCCACAATCTTGGCCTCGATCCTTCAACTGTGCAAAGTGGTCAGCTACACTGTCCCCTGGGCTCTTGCAGCAGAGTAATGTGATGAAACAGAGGTTAGCCATCAAGCAGAAGAGCAGGGGCTGCTGGCCAGACTGTTGCCCACAGAATTTCTGTGTTGCTCAAGACAGAATAGTGACCCCCCCTCTTTAGTCCACTCTGATCTGTAGCGATCCAGTGAAGTGACGTGACTTTCCCGCGGCACATACTCGCCTCTGTACCTGGCACAAGTGGAGAGTGTGAACAGGTTTAGTTCGGTGCAAGAAGATGCAGTTTAAAGAAGAAAGTGCCAAGTGCACTGAAGTCTAATGGGACTCTAGCAAAAAGCCAGAAACATATGGCCTGAGCCATTTGAGAGAACTACACAATAAGTATTGCTGCTACTCTTACAACAGCTGCCAAGTTTCAGAAAGTCAGAGCATTCAGGGACACAAGTGCTGTTGAAGAGCAAGTGCATTTTGGCCTTAAAATCCTCCCGAAACTCAGTTATTTGCACTTATCAGCATTAGACTGAGCTTAGTACTGGTGAGAAAACGCAAAAGAACAATCCATATTATTGTGTGTGCAGTGCTGCTTCCAGAGGCAATTTACAAGTGTTCAGTTCCTCTCTAAAAGCTGCAAAACATTCTGAAAGGGACATATTACAATGTACTCTTATGGTCCCGGTGTGCACACTGTATTTCACTTTTCACTCCAGTTATTTGTCATTCAGAACTAACAGAGTAATTGCCTTAGTCATTAGAATTACTTGATCATGTTTGGTTTTTACTGTTCTAAACATTTGGTTAACACCACACAATGTAATCTTGCACTACTGAGTTTCATGGAAATGTTTCACAAAATAAGTAACGCTGATAATGCCGTCAACGCTGATAAATCTACATACTGGCGAAGAAAAGCCATTCAGCTGCAGTTAAACAGCAAAAAAAAAAGATCAAACTTGCATAAATGTCTGCAAAGAATGTCCTTTGCAAGCACTTTCAACAAAATCCATTCAAGCAATTCCAATGCTGGCCAGCTGCCAAGCACGGCTGCGAGGATTTTTACAGCTGTATCCTAAACGGTTCGGAATATGTGAGAGGAGTGAGTTTTCCTTTTTCCTTAATTTATTCAGGATATAATTCTACATCCTTGAAATGTGTTATATACATCAGCAAGCACAGGGGGTAGTGCAGTGGTTTGCACTGCTACCTCACAGCACAGGGGCCCTGGGTTCAATGCCTGGGGTGGTATCTATGTGGAGTCTGTATGTTCCCTTCAGGTTTGCACGGGTTTCCTCTCACAATCCAAAAAAACACTGGCAGGTTGATCCGCCCTGGTGTGAATATGTGTGTTTGTGTGTGCACTGTGACTGATTGATTGTCCAGGGTGGATCCTGCCTTGCACCTGTTGCTTGCCAGGATAGGCTCCGGCTCCCCCACAACCTGCTTTGGATAAAGCCGTTAAAAAGAAAATGGACAGAAATGCGGCGAGACACACCTACATTTCCACCTTCCGCCAAGAAACTGAACCAATTCTCACTTTTCAGACTAAAATCAGAATTAAACCACACCACTCACATCATACGGAACTATCCCCTGGAGACAATATTTGAGGTGTACATGAGCCATGGTTACATGAATCAAAATGTATAAACCTATAATGGAAAGAAAAGTCCAGCCTTAGAAGAAATGTAAAACTTTCTGTGACACTGTGGGAGCATTTCACAAATCGCCTTCCAGTCTTCGGTCTTCCAAGGATTGGTTTCAGCTCAAATGACAGTAGCATTTGCGCTTGGGCAGCCTGATCTCACAGCTCCAGAGGCTGTGCTCCGGCAGGATCAGGTTCGGAGAACGACTTGGAAAACAAGATGGACAATGGAAGTGTTCTGGTGGACCACTAGGTGGCCCCCTTTCCCCCAGACCAGAATTTCTGAAGTAGAGCCCCAGCATGGTGGTGAGAGATTGTACTGCAAGAGATGCTGCCCTTCAGTAGAGCCCTTAAACTGAGCTCCTGATTATATGGTTGTTGAAGATCTCCCATGCACAGCTTGGAACAGCAGGGACATTACACCAGGGGGTGTCAGCCAGAGTGTGCAAATCCAAAATTCTCCCCTTAATTTTCCCCATTCTACATTGATTCTCACACACAACAGGGATGCTGGCACCTAATGGCCACCTTGCTATTGGTGCAGCATTGGGGACAGCAGGCCCAACACAAAGCACTTCAGATGGAACTTGAATCTGAAACCAAAAGCCACCATCAGACACCACCTGCAACTGAAGCATGACGATGCTGGGATTCAGCCAAATTCCACCACACAGCCAATGGGGAGCAGAGAGTTTCTGCTTTGACAAATGAAGTAACTAATGCTAATGGAAAAGATTCCAGGAAAAAAAAAAACATTTCATTACAACTGCAACCTACTGGAATGATCAGGTGTCTAAAAATGCACACAATCACCATAGCCTTCTTTTCTGTTTATTATGTAAAAAGGTAAATGTAAAGCATACTTTTATAAAAAGTTTATAAAACTCGGCATATAGACACAGTCTGTAGAAATCCACATCTCTACAAACAGCCAGAATCAACTCTATTATAGAGTTGTAATTAACATTTGGGTAGTATCCCTAAAGCCCACCCACCCCCTCCCACCTCTGATACCCCCCTTAAAAAATTTGGTATATACAATTTCATTGTGACCTAGATGCATTATAGCACAACTCGGGGGAGAAAAAAAAGGGCTCCCCAAAATAACCTTATAGACAAATCAGCAATCACTTTGGGACAGGGAGAAAGATCATACATGGGAAGAACAGCCCTCCGCAGCAACTTACAAGTTTAAGTGGAAGGTGATATTAAATGTATAAAAAGTGGTTTAAAGGGACTGAGGGGGGGGGGGGGAAGTCAGGACAAGCTTTGTCGGTTCTTAAAAACAGATCAGGGGCTTTGGAGAGTCCGATGCGCGATAGCCGGAAGTGCGGTCGTTAAGCTTGTCAGCAGGAGCCCACCCCGTCTCTGCCGGGCGACTCTCGCCGCCTAACCCCTCCTCCTCCTCCACACGTAGCCTGGACTGGAGCCTTGTGTCACGGCGCACCTGCACAGTGAATAGGGAGAAAAAGGCAGCAGCCCGTCAGTTCTCTCTCTCTCTCTCCCCCCACATGGCAGACAGATCACAGGCAGGTCCGCAGACAGCCTGGCGCCTGCGAGGAAACTTTCATTAACCTCCAGCTGATAAGGACAAATCCACAACAGCACACACACAATGTTTGCTAATTTGGCAACCACGGCGGACGGGGGCGGGGGGGTAGCGAGGGAAGACAGGGCTTGCAAGCAAGGGGGTGGGGGGTTGGAGAAAAAAAAACCCGAAGATCTTGTGTTCCTAACTCTTTACAGATGGATCTGCAATTATTCTCCTCGGAGGGAGGAACCAGATTCTCGGTGGCGCCTTCCTGGGTATTGGCAAAGCCATTGACTCGCGCCGCTGCCTGAACATCTGCACTGTTAGCAGAAATCCCCCGGCGGATCAGCCTGTGCAGCAGATGTACGCGCGGTGGGGGCCGTGTCGGAGCACGGAGGATTAATTCATTCCGAGAACGGATTCCCGGCCTCGATTATCTTTTGTTGAGCGCTCGCATTTATTTAAAAAAAAAAAAAAGAGGAACCTCCTCCACACACACCTTCCACAAGGCATTTCAAGCCGGAGAACCTGTTACTGTAACCCTGCTCATTCGTCGTCAGGAATATGCAAAAAGGAAGCGAGACAGCTGAATCACTCACCGTGTGTTCTGTAGGAAGCGACGGTGCGGTCTGGTTAGTCGCTCAACCCCCTGCTATCTTCCGATAAATCGCAAGCGAAGTCCGATGCCTGCAATAGAATAAACGTTGTGGGAAAACGTTAAGAACATTCGCATTAGACGGGTTGACAATGGAAAATATTGTACATGACACGCCGTGTACTTGTACCATGCCATCATTCCCCATAGTACAGCTTGTGAAGAGGAGCCCGTCTGCCTTCGGCCAATTAAGAGCAGACAAATCCACACCATCATTCTGGAGCCTGACGACCCCCGATAAACGCGCATCGCGGAATAATTCGGAGGCAACATTTTAGCACAAGTCCGCTCACCTTTAGGGACAGCACAACCTCCGGTGTCTTGTCGGGAGATTCGCTTTCCAAAGCGATCTGCAGGTCGAAGATGTAGTCGATGACGTGCTGCAGTATTTCCACCTGACTGACGGACTTGTTCTGCGGGATGCTCGGAACGAGCTCCTTCAGTTTAGAGTAGCAGTCATTCATGTCGTACAGCACGGTCATGGGCTCATCCACGGGGTTTTTACTTCGGGAGATGGCGAGACTCTGCTCCGACACGCAGCACACAGCTTCGTAACAGCTCCTGACCGACCGGACTGGGCTGATGGCCTTCATCATATAATCCGCAGCAAACCAACAACAGCGACGCACTAGGAAGAGTAGATCACAGAAGCCACAGAAATCGTATTTCTGTACCAGACAAGCGTGTCACAAACAGTTACCAGGTATCACAAATCCCAAAGGCTGGAGTCCGTTTTTTTGTGTTTTTTTTCCCCCTCGTTCCTCTACACCCACAATAATCGGTGTGAATACTCCGTGCTGCGCGGATGCTGCCGTTTTATACTACACCCTTGCCGTAGCCCCACCCATGCCCACCTTACAAACAAACCCTCATGTTCCTTAGAGCCAATGAATAGGTCGGCCGCAATAGTCCTGGGCGTGGTCAGGCCAGCGCTCGCTTCCCATTGGCTCCCAAATCACGCCGGGTTGCGAGGTAACTCGAGGAATGAGGAAGTAGTGGCGGAGAAAGTGCAGTCAGATGTGAAACCTCGGCACAAATCCCAAATGGCTGCCTAGATAGTCTCCCTGAAAAAATGCCTGCGTTTTCCTCACTTGCTTGTCTCAACACAAACAAGAGCCCAAGAACAGCGCATTAACACTCCTTAAAGTAAGACAGTTTATAGTTCCCAGCCTTTCACTGGCGTCTTGTAAATAATTAGTGACGCCTAGTTCACAGATTTGTTGTTCACATGACCCGTAGACATCCTGGCGTCAGAAAATCTTTTTTCTCCTCGTCTCTTGCCCTTAGTGCACAAAAATAAAAAGGGTCATTGTGTTCTAATGGGAGTTAATGCCATAACACCAAATAGGGATAACTTCAACCGTAATTCTCAAGCAAACTGGAAAAGTAATTCTGACATGTTTTAAAAGTCAGATCGTTCCGCTCAGTTAGTTACTTAAGCATTTTAATTTTAATGAACGGGGAGCTACTGTTTGCTCTGCAAATAAATGCTTCTATTCGGAAAGGCCTTTCCAACTACACTTCAAAATACATAGGTTGGACAGTAAACCTTAAACATTTTCTGTGAAGAAAAGTACGTTAGTGGTATTACTGATTTTGTCCTGCTTCTACTCAAGTGAATTTAAAATATGATAAAAACATCAATTTAAATGAACGAGTCGCAGTCATTAAAATGAGAGATGTCTAAAACGACTTTCCGTGCAATTACTGCAGGTAAAACACTGCTCAGGCATGTTCGCGATTTAAGCGAACCGACTCTGGTCTTCTGATCCACGGCTTCACATCCAACTACTTTCAACGATTCAAATCTGGGATTTATTTTTCCGAGGAAACTTCCACCTGCGAACCGTGCCGAGTGACTTCGCGAACAACCACTCGCGGTTATTTCGCGAGTCACGCCAACCAAAGTTGTTTTTCGCCTCAGTCAACCGCAGGAACACGAGCAACAATTTCATTTCATTTTGGTCTTTTCATTTCATTTTGTTTTTTGTCAAAAAAAAAGCACAACTACTCAATCGCGGGGGAAAATAAAATAATGATCAAGTACTGTGACGACTCTGTTCTCCAGCTGTATTTTAGACGGCCTACAAAGAAATCGTAGAATTTTTACAAAGAAAACGCAGCATTTTTAAGTTTGCATCAAAGCGTTTTCCCCTCTGTTCCTATTTGGTCTTATTTTCCCTTTTCTCACAATCCTGTTTTTGTTGAGGAATGCACTCCCTGGCCAGCTGTGTGTCCTATTCCTTCGCAGCTGTGTTGATCTAACTAGCCAGCCCCAGACAGCACGGCGCCAGTCTCCCGACGTCATCCATTCACCCGCTCCAACGCGTCGCCCTGGCAACCGGCCTGCCTTGACCGACCAAGCCCTCCCATTCGGCCGTCACTCCACGGCCTAACCCCGCCCCAAGGCCGTGCAAGTCAACGGGAACGTCGCTGTCCATCAAACCCTTGCCCCCGCCCATTTCCAGATGTTGCGCTGTGCAGTATTCTCTGCTTTGTCATTCGGTCGGTTATATCTCGCACAAAGCGGATCTGTTCAGTTTTATTGATTTGACAATTAATCCTTTATGCCTATGTTATGCACACATACTTCATGCTGTTATTCTGATTACCTACGTGGAAGCTTCTTATAGTTCTTCTTATGAATGCAGTATGGTCTCTTGAAACTCATGGCACTAAAATGTCTTGTAACATACGATGACAAAAAAAATACATTTTAAGCTCATATAAAGTGTTTAAATATGAGAGGGGAATGATTCGCATCAAAGCTCTGGAATGTGGGGGTATTAAAATATGTTTCGTCTTTTCCTTGACGATGATTCGCCTATCAGCATATTTGTCTCCCAGCAGCAGACAGACAGACGTGTTGCATTAACCTCGGCTCGGATAAGGCTGTTTCGCGGCGTTACGAGATGTGTGTGTGTGTTTTTCTGTTGGTTTTTTAGGAGACTCCTAAATTGAGAGAGCGTGTCGGGCCTGAATGTTGGAGCGGGGGCACCCGAGGTTGTGAAACTGCGTGAAAAAAAACGAAACCCGCCACATTGATATTAGTAATTACGGTCAACCAAAAGAATTATATAAGTGTGTTGAGCCAGTGATGAATTCATCTGGGCTTTTCTTTCCCTGCTTGCCTGCGCAACGAGGTTATCGCTCAGGGTGACGAAGAGTCGAACAAGCCTTTATTTCATTGCGTGTAGTGAATAGCTCCTACGGCTACAGAAAGTTCAAACAAACCCTTCCCGAGACAAGTTAATGTGCCAACCGCAGCAAACTGTGCTTGCCCTTTTTTTTTTTAATTCCATAGCTGTCTGTCACTAGTGTGACTGAGCAGGAATCAGGTGTTCCGACACAGGGCTGCCGGGAAAAGCCCAACAATCGAGAGTCTTTTCCAATGGATGGGAGAATTTGGAGACTGGCGTCAGTGAGTCTGCCTCCCCTCGCGTCTCCGCCCTCGGCTCTTCCCCCGGTTCCGTGTGCAGCTGTACGCGGACAATCAAGCCATCAGCGATCGCCATGCATAATTAGCAACACCCCCCCTCGCCTTAAGAAGACCTCTCACAGCGGCTTTGCTCAATCTATGGTCAACAAAGCCGCTCTATTCCTTTGCTGGTCACAACAGATGAAAGTGAGGAATTCAAAAACGAAGTGTTTTCACACATACGGACGCGGAGCCTCTTGGACAGAACAAAGGAGACGATTAAAAAAAAAATACCCACGTCTCGAGTGCGTCTCGGGACGCTGGGGCTGTACGAGTGTGTGAGTGTGTGTGTGTAGGGGGACAACAAAAGCAGCTCAGAGCGACGAATAACCGTGTCGCTAAAAGGACGCAGCCCCAACGCCTGGAAGCTGTCATTTGGTGATGGGTTTATTTTCAACGTCAAGACTGAAGAAAAATACATTCCGATGCTCCCCCTCCGCCCTCTCCACTTCAAGATACACAGCAGTCTCGGAGTAACACTTAACGCACTTAGGGACTTGGAGATTAAAACAGGCTACTGCCCTCTTACAAAGACGTTTGACATTATCCTACCCATACGTTACTTCGGAATGTTAAAAACACATTTAACACACATAGCAGATGCCTCTATCGCCATCCTATTGTGCAGGAATTCATTTCAAACCTGCGAAGAAATCATAATTTAAATCGTAAACACTTGATTGTACTTCGGGGAATCTACACTTATCATCTTCATTCATCATTGAATAATGCAATAAAGGCAGAATGAATACGTATTACAGTCGCATTTAACTCATCATAATTAAACACGTCGCAAGCTTGAAATTAAACATTAAATCGCAATACTTCCCGCCTTTCATAAATCATCTACAAGGTTAAAATTGTTGCCCCCTGCGAGGAAAACAGGTACGTCATCAAACATTAATGCCCAACACTCGATTTACAGAAGCCCGCACTCAAAAAAACATGGCATTATATCCGGATCATACCATATTATTGTGTGTTGATTTTAATTCAAAACTGTGTTGTACTTGTCTGAAAGCCAGAGCGAACCATTTCTTAAGCGCAGGGACATTCCACCCTCAGCTTCCTCACTGTTAAAAAAAAATTAAATAAACATTCAGGCCTAATATATCCTAGTAGTTTTTTGTCATAAAGCACAAAAATGTACATACGTGAGATTTTTAGAACACGAGTTACTTTTGAAAGATGTTTGCGTGTTGATTTTAAGGTACACACAATTGCACTGAAGCGGTTGTGGGGTCTCGGTGGACTAACTCGACCTGCAAATTGCACATGAGAACAAGTCCATTAATGAATAATCAATATCTTCTGCTCAAGTAGAAATTTTACGGCATGATATAATCCAAACAAAAAAAAGGGTGGGCAATAATAGATTGTATCATACTTATCTTACTTCAAATCCAACTGCATTTGATTCCGCGTCATTAGTACCGGGTTGTATCTAATTTACGCTCACACGCAGACCTTCGAGCCGACTTGCAGGCTCGGGAAGCGCGCCAAAAT